ACAACGACTCCCATTTAGCACCCCTGTCAACAGTCAAAGCGCGTAACATATCCTCTAACGTCTGTATAGTCCGCTCTGTCTGTCCGTCAGTCTCGGGATGGTAGGCTGAACTGAAGGCTAGCTTCGTACCCATTGCCTCGTGTAAACTCTTCCAGAATCTAGTGGTGAATCTGGGGTCTCTGTCTGACACAACAGTAACAGGTACTCCATGGAGTCAAACGATCCCACAGACATAAATCTCAGCCAACCGATCCAAAGACATACTCATCGATACTGGCAAGAAGTGAGCAACCTTAGTCAATCTGTCGACCACGACCCATATAGCGCCGTGACGATCAGATGACCTCGGTAACCCCGTGACGAAATCCATCGCAACCTCCTCCCACTTCCACCTCGGAATCGGTAGTGGTCGTAGAAGGCCTATAGGACTCTTATGCTCGGCCTTGACTTGCTGACAGGTTAAACATCTTCTTACAAAGTCGGCAACGTCTTTCTTCAATCCTTTCCACCAAAACGACCCTTTCAGGTCATGATACATCTTTGTACTTCCGGGATGGGCTAGATAGGGTGCGGTATGAGCCTCAGATAAAATCTCCTTCCTCAATGCTTCGACTTTAGGCACCACAATCCTGCCACGAAACTCCAAGGCCCCATCAGTGCCTCGGTGAAAACTGGCATCAATCGTACGAATAAACTCATCTGAAGCCTGCTCTTGTCGGATTCTCTCCCTCAGCGTCGGCTGAACCTGCATGGAATTCACACTCCCCCTACAGGCAGTAGGAAGTGCATCAATCACCTCAATCCGCATCCAGGCGAACTCCTGAATCAACTGGCTCTGCTGGGTAACAACGTATGTCAAGTCACCCTTCACCTTGCGGCTTAGCGCATCAGCAACAACATTCGCTTTTCCCGGATGGTACTGGATCGTACAATCTTAATCCTTGACGAGTTCTAACCAACGGCGCTGTCTCATGTTGAGCTCCTTCTGAGTAAAGATATACTGTATGCTCTTATGATCGGTAAAGATTTCGAATTGACCGCCGTATAGATAGTGTCGCCAAATGTTGAGGGCATGAACAACTGCAACTAATTCCAAGTTGTGCGTCGGATAGTTCTGTTCATGTGTTTTAAGCTGGCGTGACGCATAAGCAACGACCTGGCCATCTTGCATAAGTACACATCCCAAACCCTGCCTCGAAGCATCACTATAGATGGTGAAGCTCCGAGAAGGATCTGGTATAGTCAACACTGGTGCCGTCGTAAGCCTCCTTTTCAGCTCCTGAAAACTCGACTCACAACGGTCTGTCCACTCGAACTTTACAGACTTCCTTGTCAGCTGAGACAAAGGGAGTGCAATTTTCGAGAACCCCTCGATAAATCTGCGATAATAACCTGCAAGACCGAGGAAACTACGAACCTCAGACGGATTCTTCGGTGCTGACTAATTCTGGACTGCAGCGATTTTGGAAGGATCAACTTTAATACCTGCTGAAGTAATAATGTGACCAAGAAAGGCCACTCGTTGAAGCCAAAATTCGCACTTGGAGAATTTTGCATATAACTTCTCGCGTCTAAGGGTAGAAAGAACGGCCCTCAGGTGCTCCTCGTGCTCCGTCTGGCTCTTGGAATAAATAAGAATATCATCAATGAAGAAAATAACGAACTAGTCGAGAAAAGGATGAAATACACGGTTCATCAAGTCCATGAATACTGTCGGGGCATTACTGAGGCCAAACGACATAACCACAAACTCGAAGTGACCGTATCTCGTACGAAAAGCTGTCTTAGGTATGTCTGACTCCTTGATTTTCAGCTGATGGTAGCCTGAACGCAAATCAATCTTGGAAAACACGCAGGCACTCCTCAACTGATCAAATAAATCATCAATCCTCGGAAGCGGATATTTATTCTTGATCGTCAACCGGTTAAGATCCCAGTAGTCGATACACATACGCATAGATCCGTCCTTCTTCTTGACAAAAAGGACTGGTGCTCCCCAAGGAGAAACGCTCGGTCGTATAAAACCGAGATTCAGCAATTCTTGGATTTGGGTCTTTAATTCCTGCAATTCTTTAGGCGCCATTCTGTATGGTGCCTTTGAAACGGGTCCGGCTCTAGGGGCAAGATCAATAGAAAATTCCACCTGTCGGCAAGGTGGACCTCCAGGAAGCTGGTCAGGAAACACGTCCACGAACTCACGAACGATAGGAATGTCATGAGGTGAACGTGCCTTTGACTCATCTCCAACGAGGCTTACAAGATAACCCTGGCAATCGGCCCGTCGAAGAATCTTTCTGGCTTGCGCCATAGAAATAACATGTGGCAGAGTACGAGTCCTGGAGCCGTAATAAGTGATCTGATCATCTCCCGGAAGATAAAGAGTAATCTCCCGGTCGTAACATCGAATATCTGCGTGAAATCGTGTTAGCCAATCCATACCGAGTATGAGGTCAAAATCCCTCATCTCGATAACAAAAGCATCAGTAATCAGAATACGGCCGCTGATGGAAAGGCTGAGATCGGTGGCTCTAGCATCAGTCACTATCTTTCTTCTCGAGGCTAAACTCACCTCGAGAGGATCGACAGCGGTGGTGGAACGAACCCCAATAGCTTCGAGACATCGTCGTGATATAAAAGAATGGGTCGCTCCAGTATCAAATAAGGCATAGACAGGCACATCATTAAGAATAATCATCCTGGACATGGTACCTGGGTGCTGGTCGGCCTCCCTCTGGTCAACTGCAAAGACGCGGGCCTGCTGTCTGCCGCGTTGTTGTTGCTGTGGTCGTGGTGGTTGCTGCCTGGGCTGCTGTTGTTGAGGTTGCTGTGGCGGTTGACGTTGTTGCAGTTGTTGTTGTAATCGTTCTGGACAGTTGGTGCTGAAGTGACTTGGCTGGCGGCAAAAGAAACAAACATTCCGGCCCACGAGGCATTCTCCACGATGGTGTTTCCCGCAAGTTGGGCATTCTGGTGTTGTCTTCTGTCTTTGGCGGTTCCTGCGATCATCTGGACCTCCTTTGAACTTCCTTTTATTCTTGTTGATTGATGGTTGAGCAACTTTGAGCTGGGCTGGTGGTTGAGCAACTGGCTGGGCTGGTGTCTGGACGGCTTCACGTCGGATACTGGCATCGACTTCCTGTGCAATGGCAACTGCGCGGGCGTAGGTCTGGACGCCGTGGCCTACGATGTTGTGGCGGACTGCTGGGCGAAGTCCGTCGGTGAAACGGTGGGCTCTCTTCGCCTCCGTACCCACAAGATCAGGTACAAAGGCTCCGAGATGGGTGAACTCTCCTTCGTACTCGTCGACAGTACGAGTACCCTGGGTGAGTGCCAAGAACTGGCGCTCCATGTCTGCTCGGTAATACGAGGGATAATACTTTTCTCGGATCAACTCCTTGAACTGGTCCCACGTACAACCGTCCTTTTCACCGGGACGCCTACTCCAATAGGCTTGCCACCAGAGTCTGGCATCACCGGTCAGCTGGATCTGGACACATAACATGCGATAACGATCAGGGCAGTTCATGACCTCGAAAAATAATCTCGAGACCCTGAACCCATTCATCTACTACACGAGGATCTCCTTGGCCGGAAAACTTTTCTGGATGGTAGTCGCGGAACAAAGCGACCACTGTGGCCTGTGGGAGTTTCTGGTGGTCTGGCTCTCTACGAGGAGGCATCTGAATATTGAAATATTTAACATGGTTAAATAACATAAGAGATTAACGGACTGATTAATTAAATACACAGATCTCTTGACGAGTCGCTAAATAACCCGAGAATACTAAAGTCGAACTATCAAATGACTGAGACAATCGACTAAGTTCTAACATACCCGAGCATCTTACTGATTTCTAGGGTCAAATATCTGATACCCTCTTACTGAGCATAGACTTAAGTATTCGTTTAAATATATATAAACTGTAACTCAGCACTTACCTGGTAGTCGGCGGGGCGTGACCGTAGCGTGGTCGGGTCTTTTCTGAAAATTTCTAACTTTAAAAGTATTCAGATACACGAAAATGTGCTCTGATACCAATTTGTAACACTCCACTAGCTTACTAAAATCAGAGTGCGATTTTCGCAAATCCTTTTCTAAAGTTTACGTTTTATTTTGCGAAACATATATCGGGATGCTACACAAAATATTTCTTTTCTAAAAAAAATCCGTTAACTATAAACCCATTTATGAAAAACGGATTATCATTATAAAACAAGCGTGTGATACTGTATAAAACTAGACCCGAAAGCTCGAATCGTCGTCTGAAAATTTACACGCTAGTTTGAAAGTCTGAAAACGTCAGCGGAAGTAAAACGTGGCAAATATATACATATCAACAGTCTGCAAAAATATATACATATTTACATGTACTGGACCGACGACCACTAGCTCCACTCACTCCTCCGGACCGACCCTGTCTCCTGAAAAAGAATCATAATAGTGGGAGCGTGAGTACTAAAAACACTGTACTCCGCAGAAACTCATACTAAAGTAAACATCAATAATAATATCAATATCATGACTGCAGGTATATATAAGTAAACTGTAATCTCAAGACACAAGGTCTGTAACTAAACTGAACCTCCTCGGACACTATGTCCGTCCATGTGCACATTCCGATGGCCTATTAAGGCTACTGCGCCTCCACCGGAACTCGGGATGGCCTATTAAGGCTACTGCGCCTCCACCAAGAGTGGAATAACTCATATACATACCTTAAAACATGATAGATTAATTATAACCAATGTAATACCCAGTCTGAGTTCCCACCTGTACTGATAATGTAAGTGCTGCTGCTGATCACTCTGTAAAAAAATATAGAAAAATTAACTGAAATACTGTACTGGACTCGAACCGGGTCAGTAAATACTGAACAACTCACAAACCGGTCTAAACCGGCCGGTTCATTTTTTGGCCGGACCGCCGGCTCCCTGCGGCCNNNNGGCGCTGGCGAGCGATGGCTGACTTGGTCCCGTGCACTGGCAGGTGCTGCTGGCACCGTGCGTGCGCTGGGACGGTCGCTGGCGTGCTGCTTTGCACGACCAGTGACAACTGGACGCTTGCTGGGCTTGACTGGCCACTACCGTGCACGCCGGCAACGGTACTGGCGCGCACATGCACTATCGGGCGCTGCTGGCACCGTGGGTAGACGACTGGCACGCGGGCTACGCGTGCTGGACTGGTTGGGCGCTCGGGCGTGCTGTTTGGCAACGCCGAGGCCTGCTATGCATCGCTGGCACGCTGCTGGGCGTACTGGCGTGCGTGGTGACTGGCCAGCGTGCGTGGTACGCTGCTGGCGTGCATACGTGCTTCGCGGGACACACTACTGAGCGTCTGACGCATTGCTGGGTACGCGGACTGGGTGGACAGACGCTGCGGTGCGTTGTCGTGCGTGTTGGCGTGCACTGCGCACGTCTACACACGTGACTGTGGCATCGCAGGGACTTAACTGTCGAGTACCAGGCACGCGTGCGCGTTACTGGGCGCGCGGACGCTGCCTGCGTACTCGCTGGGCCTGCCAGGCGTACCTGCGCGCGCACCGTGCGCGGTAGGTATCACGGTCGGCATTTCGCCGGCCGTCCGACTACTTCTTCCGGCAATCCACATACGACTGATTATGTTTTGACTTAAAATGACTGAAAATACGTAGATTACTCGAGACTTGCCGGTTCTATTTTGAAATCACTCGGGAGGGCTTATATAGCACCTCCGAGGCCATTTTGCCAAAAGAACTTGGACCGAACAACATGACATCAACATGATCTTACTACTATGAGCTTAACTATTTGAAAAGAAGATAAATAGGGGTATACCCTTCAGTTTGGTCGAGGATTGCACGATGGCGTGCGTGTTTGGTACTCCTTTAATGTCCTTATGCTTCTCCCTTGCTTCGGCAACACTTAGCTATTTTTGAGCTATTTTTCTCTTATTTTTCCTTGCTGTTTTCTCTCTCAATTATATGCTGAAGTTGGTCGGATTTTGTGCATGAAAAGTGCATGAAAAGTTACACACACACGGTTACTTATAGAGAGGTAAAACCGAGGGCAAACTTACGGTCAATGAGGTGAGTGATGACATTATTTCCTTTGATTACAAGTGTCCAAAGCACAGCTGAAGTGTTGGGCAAATTTGCTTAGTCATTGCCGAGGTGGCGGCCATGCACGAGCTTAGTCATCGCCCGAGCGTTCGTGGCGCGCCGTGTGTGCAAGCTACTAGGTGAGTCACCCTTGCAACTTGCACTCCAACCTCATCTCATGGAAATTCCTCACGGCTAATCTAAGGAAAAAGGATTTGGATTACTTAACCTTGATCATAATGCCAAGCATCATATAAGCATGCGCTTAGTAGCTCATTGATGCGCGCGCTATGCGCTGCGTGCGGTAATGCGTACTGCGCGCGTTCGCGTGCGTGGCCGTACGCACGACATGCGTGCACAAGTGCGCGCATAGTGTACCTTGTGCATTTATACCTTAACTTGATTTTTGACTTTAAAATTTAATCCGAACATTCTTAACTTTCAATAATTAATCCCGATTAATAATGTCCGTTTATAAAATAAACGGTCCGGAAATTAATTATCGAATTGACTCGGTTAATAATTAACCGGATAAACTTTTCGACTTAACATCGAACTTATTCGCTGAAAATGAATGGAATCGATAAAAGATAATACATCATTTCAATTAACAAGAAGTTGGGTTATTACACAATCAACGACGAGGTCGGTCAAGAACTGGAAGAGCGGGACATGATGTTGCGAGAGTTAAAGAAAAATCTTGAAGGCTCAATCAATCGTACAAAGGCCTTCATAGATGGAAAATACGAGAGGAGAGTTTCGAGCCAAGAAACTTTGTCTACTTGAAGCTGCGACCATTTAGGCAGCGCACGATGGCGCAAAGGACCGCGACCAAGCTAGGGGGTATGCTACTATGGGCCGTATTAGGTTCTGAAGTGCATAGGCCAGGTAGCTTATCGCCTAGATGTTAGAGGTATGCTGTAAAAGCTCGGTTTTGCAGATTCTAGCAATTCCATTTTGATCTGGTCATCATGTTTCGATCAAAGTACATATGCTTGCAGTTTATTTATTTATGCAATCATACTCCTTGTCTTACATTGAGATAGTGTGGTTCGAAGTTTTTCAAATAGAAAGATCACCTACCAGTTCCTTGTAAGACTAAACTATTCGTTCACAGTCTAGACAGGCAGTGAGACCCCTCTTGGATAGAGACTGTAGTGTATTCTTGATTCAGTTGGTCTTTGACTGGAGAATTACACTAGCACTTATGATAGGTGTTGAACATGACCACAGAAGGATAAGATTATGAGACTCACTGATCGTTGTTGTAATCTAGACCTTTAGTAATTGATGCGTACTCTTAAGCTGTAAGATAATGTAAAACGGGCATATGTATTCATTACTTGTTTATTTGATTTACCAAGGTTGATTTCTGTTTTGCTAGGATGACATACTCGGTATTTTGGTAAATAAGTGTGTTTATATGATGTGCCGTTATAAATTATTTACGGTCATTGTGTCCCAGTGCGCTGGGTTGATGACGTCCCCGAAATGAGCTCAGGAATGAATATTATGTCAAGCCCTGCAGGCGGATGTGTTATCCGACATAATGATTAAGGATCTGTGTGGTACTGGTTTTGGAAATGAATAAGAAGTTGATTAATTATTTTGTCAGTAATTTAATTAATCAACGGATGTTATATCTTAAACATGGGGAGATAAATCGATCAATTGGATTAATATATTTAATCAAGTGGAGGTTCGAATTTATTGAATAAACTGGAGCTAAATGGGGAGAGCAATAATATTACTCTAGTGCAATGTTTTATTATTTAATTCTATTTAGGAATTAGGAATTAATTTTATTCCATATTAATTAATTTAATTAGGAAAATAATATTCCTACTAGAATCTTCTCTAGGAATTAGGAGACTAAGGAGTCTTCTAGAGGATGAAGATTAGTAGGAGATATATTTTATACATTAGATTATTAATTGGAGTATAATTAGGTTTCCTAAATTATGAATTAATTTTATTCCATGATTATTAATTTAATTAGGAAAGGTATTCCTACTAGAATCTTCTCTAGTGTTAAGAGACTAAGGAGTCATCTAGAAGAGTTAGATTAGTAGGAGATTTATTTCCTACATTGAATTAGTATTGGAGTAGAATTAGGATTCCTAGGCCTAAATTGGATAAGCCCATATTTAGCACCTCCTTAAGGTCCCTAATGTAGCCTATAAATACACCATGTCCCAACCTCTTCTCCAACGAGTGTGAGATCCGATTTTAAGGTCCTACTAGGGAGAGGAAAATTGTGTTCTTCATATATTCGAGAGTTAGTGAGTTTCGATTAATCACCCACCAAGATTATTCGAAGTAGGTGTAAAGGATATAATTAGAAGGCTTTATGTTACAATTTATTCGAGTCTATGTATTTGTATATATTTTTTGGCTGCCCCACAATTTCCGGCAACCGGCCGGAGCTCTGACGGTGTCTGGTGAGCTGCGGGAATTTTCAGTCGGTGTCCAGCCCCTTCAATTCGCGCTCAGGTTATTGATCCTGCGTCCAAGTCCAATTACGACAACACGGCATTTGGTGCAGTTGTGCGACGCTTGTTTCTCTGCGCGAGGTCGCGGGTTCGATTCCATCTCCTTGCGTAAATAGTAGCCATTATTTTTTTGCTACCAGCTCCAGGCGCGCAGGCTTCTTAGCCCGCATTAGGCCCGCGCGCGGCCCACACTCACCTCACAGCTTCAGCCCGCGAAGCCCGAGTCAGCCCGCGCATCTTTTAGCCTGGCCCAGATGTTCTCTCGCGGCCCAACACCGTTGTGCGCGGCCCAGATGCACACCACTCGGCCCAGCGTCGTGGAAAGTGGCCCAGTTTGCGTTCTAGCAAACCAGCTCAAGTCCAGCAACTATTAGGTGGTCCAGACGCACCCCAGTCCGGTCCAGCTCGTACCAAACCGGTCTAACATGTTCCAGCAGCCCTGATTAGTGTCCAAGGCGGTCCTCGAGCAGTCCGAATGGTCCAACTCACTTACCGAAGGTCCGAGACGACCCGATTAGTTTGATGAGCGATTGGAGCACCTTAACAACTCGATTAGAATCGACAAAGGCCAAGTCTAGCTGCTCATTAGACTTTGGTGTTTAGGCGATCTCCATCAACGGAAATCAGAAACGTCTCAGAGTCGGCAAAAAAATTTTAAACCGTGAGTCCTAATCCTAACTATAGATTTCGCTGTGTTAGGATTTATTATTCAATAGATTTGAATGTGCACATTGACCACGTTCCTAATAGAACCCAACAACTAGTATCAGAGCCCAGGCTAATTCGACTTTGTGCACTATTCGAATTAGGACTTGCGTGATATATGTGAATTAATTGTGTACAGACGCAGCGCATAATAGATTAGAATTACAAATAAGTGTGTTTGCAGGTATTCTTAAATCCGACTATTATGGCCCACATGTATGTTCGTTTTTTTAATTCATGTATGTCGTTTTTATAAGCCTCGGACATGTCGAGGATTTTTTGGGTTGGTGAATGTTTGTAATAATTTATTCGCGCGGTGGGACACTGCATAGTTTAAATGCTTTACTAGATCATTCATGTACGACCCCTGCGTGGGCCATAGGAACAATGTATGTAATTTATTATGTAATTGTTCGTTGGACCCGGTAAGCACGGATATATCTAGACGAGACGAGGCAGGCTACCCCGCGAACCCGAAGTTGATGGGATACGTGGTACTGTGCAAATGCAGACATACTCGTAGGCAGCTTGCTGTCAGATACGAGTATTGTTAAGGTGTTTGCAGTCGGATACGCACGGACCCAGGTCAACAGAAGTACGGGCGACAGCGGCAGTAGGCACAAGCCAACGGAGAAGACTCAATGGCGACTTTCCTGATGACGACTTGTTCAAGATGAAAAGTGGGAGCCACGGCGAAAAAGGAAATTCCAAGTCCCGAATCAGAAGATGCAGTTCAACAAGGACAAGACTGCGTTTACCGAAAGATTGGAGAATGATTAAAATGGCCATGATAGTTGGATCTTAGTTCCTCGTTTATTATTGCCTATTAATCATGCATGTCCTTATGTGATTTAATTGCTCTATGTGCAAATTGAATTATTAGGAGCATGTTTAGAAAAATCCCTTTAAAGTAAAAATTATATTAAGTGTGTAATGGGTTGAAATAAATA